TGGCTTTTTTGTTTGTAAGGAACTGTGAGTATCAAGTTTTCCACACCATCCCTGCTCGATGTTCTTTCGCCCTTCAGCAGGACATCAGGCCCTTCATCAAAACACCATTCCTTGCCTGATATCTACAATAGTTGCATTATCAGACTCTTGAAAAAAAAACAAGGTAACTTGTCGTTTAGGCAAGTATAATTTGAAATGCTTTTGAATTTAGTAATCGAGGTTGCTTTACACACAGCCTTCAGCATGAGCTGGCTTTTTCGATTGTAAGGATTTGTAAGTATAAAATATTCTGAAACATTACTGGTGAATGTCCTGTGCCCATTCAGAGTGCCACCCCGATCTGTTTTCCTTCGAACAATTGGTCAAACAGGATTCAAAAGGAGGTTTCAATCGTTGCAATTGTTTTTGCCCAGTGTTCAGTTGAGCAAAGGCTCCACTCGCTAACAACAAATCTTTGGACATTGTGAAAACTCTTGGGCTCCTGTGGATTTTCTCAGAGTGCGCATTTGGCCCCTGCATCTTCAGGCTAAGGAAGGGTGGGGTTGGGAGGAGGTCTATCAGAGCAGGTTCCTGCTCATCAGCACAGACCTGAAGCCCGTCCATTAGAATTACACATGGGAGGCCAAGAGAGAGGACACTGCTGGTCAAATTGTGATGGTCTCATGAAGGAATAGCTCTGACACTCAATCTTAGATATGAAGGGAAGAGTGAACCTTCAAAGAACAGTTTAGAACTGTTTCTCAAGGTGTTATTGGCTTTGTAAAGGATAAGGGAAGAAAGTAGGAAGGGAAATAAATAGATATCCTTTATTTGCACACTGTCAGAGGAAGCTTATCAGTGTTATTCCACTGACAGCAGCTTCATTTCAGATGCTGCTGACCCAACCTGACAAAGTTCTGCTGTTAATCAGGATGGCTCTCTCCCAATTCAGCCTTTCCAATTGGGCCATTAAATGACCCATCTCGAAGGTGCTGATCTTTTTGCTTTCCAGACAACATCAACATGAGGCTCTCACCTGCCATTTCTACAGCCCAGTGTAAAACATCTCTCTTGAACTAAGTGGTAGGCATTTCACGGTAAACTCCAGTTTGATTAGTTAGCTCCACACTGTTCACAAAGTCATCACGCCACCTCTACAACAGGGCTGAATTTGCAGAACCAAATCAAAAATGTGTTTACGGGCTGCAGCAGTTCATGAAGGCAGCTCACCACCACCTTGTCAAGGACAATCAGGGATGGCCAAGCCAGCCTAGATCCCATGAATGCATTTAACAAAAAAGTACTTTTCTTATTCTCATCTTTGAACTTGAGGCTAATGGATAGTTTTTAATTAAAATGTCAATAAAATTATGAAATTATTCCTTCTAGGATCATCCCTGATATAATGACTTTCCACTGCAAATATATTTTTATGGCATAAACAATAATCTTAATCCAATGTTAGTCTTGATAGACATTTCCTTCTCCCCATGAAGTAAGTGTTTGTAACTGTCTAAATCAATAACAGTGCAACATAATCATTTCCTTTGACTATAAAAATGACCATTATTAAATGGTAAAATCCAAATTCACATTATGATGTCTGGAAGCACATTCACTTTTTTTTTCTAAAACTACTTTTTTCTTCTTCTCATTCCCCTTGGTTTTCTATTTCTCTCCATTGATTCCAAAGATAGTAACATGCAGAGCTGTAGTTCAGCAAGCCTTAGTAACCCTCTAGTACTTCCTGACTGAGATTTCATAGTAAGGATTAGCAGGGTTTTTGATGTGGGCTTGATTCTGGTCCTATCCAGAATCTGCACAGGCATCCCTTGGCAGGTGTTACTGGGCAACAGTCATGGATGTAAAGGCTAACTGTAGCGTCTCCCTTGACTGATATCCAAGACTTCATCATGCAAAATCTAATCTGGAACTGACTTGTATTTATATAGTTAGGTACCAGAGCTTCCATTTTTTGTTCAAAATGATCACTTTGGCAAATGAAGAGGAACTGTTTCCAGTGCTAGGAGGGGCGTTAACCAGAGGGACACAGTTTGAAGGTAATCGATAAAAGAACCAGAGGGTAAAGATTCTCTTTTACTTAGCAATTGGTGATAATTTAGAATGTGATTGCCTAAAAGGGCAGTGGAAGCAGATTCACTTCTAACTTTCCAAAGGGAATGATATTGTTGAGAAGGAAACATTGGCAGGGCTTTGGGAATAAAAGCAATGGAATTGGACAGCTCTTTGAATGAGTCAGAACAGGCACAATGGGCCAAGTGGCCTCTTTCTATGCAGTATGGCTTTCTGAATGCATTGCATAATTCACACGGTTGCTACATTTCTTTCCTTTTTGCCAAAATACATGTAACTTACTTGTGCGAAAAGGACATGATACATCTGTCACTGCTGCAAATTAAATGTAACTATTAGGAATTTATGGGATTGCAACCACGTTAAAATTCACCTGATGTATGGAAAAGCTTTGTTCGATGTAAAAAGGACAACAAAAACAGACAGGATCCTCCCAGAAAGGATGTTGTTTTAACTTTACTGTATTGAAGGGTTAATGATGGGTGAGACTTCCCACTGAAACCCCAACATAAGTTTCACAATCAGGGCCTGATTTTCCGGAAGTGTATAGCATAACTTTATCACTCACTTAACCTGTGTCATTTATTGTCAGAAACCTGCTCCTTTGCTGTTTTCAGTTTCCTAGTACTGACTTCTTTCTTGAAAGCGGTTTGCATAATTTCAGAATTATGCACTATTTAAATGTCGGGGGAATAGTTTAAATGTCAGTTTTTCACAATTGCCATTGTTCCATTTGCTAACCAGGGAAAGCAAAAGTGGTCAACAAGTTGGGGATACTGTAGCCTGTCGACTAGGAAAAAGATCTGACATGAGCAGGCCCCTAGAGAGCAATAAAGGAGGCAATAGAAAAAAAAGTATGTTTTTAAAAAAGGCCTTTGCACATTTACTGTAACTGCAAGAAACTGTTATGAAAATATCAACAAAGCAAAGTGTTGAGGGGATGCAGAAGTGTAAATATAACACTGATTTTCTCCCTCTGCACTGACCTTACCCTTCTTTTTCGGGCCGCAAACACTAGTGCCTTGCAAACTTTCAGCTCAAAACACCGGAAAAAAGTGCGATCCAATGTACTTTTGTTTTTAAGTAAGAATTGGACAATTCTTTAATTTTTAAATCTGCTTTGTAACTATTATCATAGGATCCATATTGTCTGATGTGCATGTTTCATATGACACCACACACTCTTAGGTTCAG